CCCCCCACACTCCGAGAACGGAGGGATACCATGCGTGTTACCAAAATGTCCGGTAAAGGGGTACTTTTCGTGCGACAAAGTCCGGCCCCAAGAATTCTAAAAAAAAAGGAGTGTATTTGACTTTTCACGCGGAGATTTCTTTAAAAAGGGGGTGTTTTTTCTTTTTTCTTTCATCTCTTTGGACTCCTGAAAAATTAAAAAAGGGGATTATAAAAAATCTTGAACATAGAAAAATCGATCAAATCCCGGGACTGATGTAGACTAGTTTTATACTGTAGTCTATCCTATTTCACACACAGCTGCATGACTATCCGGGCTGTGTCCTGTGTATTGAACCTATATTCTCAACATTTCAAACACCACTGTACAAAACTCAACTGATTTCATTCAAATTTCTTTAAAAGGATAAAGTACTTGATTACATAAGCCATTTATTATGACAGGTAGGCCTACATTAGTATGTGAAAGGACACATCAAGCAGGCACAGGTGATGTCAGTTAAGAATAATGGAAGGTTTATTTCTTACTAAGTCTCAATATCAGGCACTAAAGTAATTATTCGGTGGTGATATATTATGCAGATAAGTGAGCATAGAACTAATTTGCAGACTTTGATTATTCTTACAAGGTATGAATGAAAACACGAGCACAGACATTTTGTATGTATTTCATGTGCTAAATGTCTGTACATAATGCAGGCTGAGTTCTTTGGGGTATTCCCTGGGTGTGTGAGCCAACCAGTAATGACAGCTTATCTAAGATAAGGGGAGGGGGAGGGGATTGGTCTGCATGTCCTGAGATAGGGGGGTTCATTGAGCAGTGTTCCGGATTTAGGGGTGTCTCCAAGGCAGGAAAAGCCCGCGAAAGGGGGGTCCAGAAATGTTGGCAGTCCTCAGATAGGGGGTGCTTTCAAAAAGAGGGAACAAGCATATGCGTACCCTAAATAACACTGAATGGGGGGGGGGGGGGGGGGGGAAAGGAACTTCTTTTTTCTTTTTATGTATATAAATGGGTGACAAAAAAAATTAAAATTGGCAGAAGAAGAATAAAAATAGCAATATACATGATATAGGCCTTTGTTTATGTAACAAACTAATAGGGATTTTTCAAAATGAATTATGAGAAACAAGAATCCCAACTTACGAAAATTGATCTAGCCATGCATATAGGGAAGTTCCGACCCACCCCGGGCGCATGAGCTCGGATAGCTCTTCGCTGTTTTAGACATTACTGTTCAGGATACTGGCATATGGATATGGCCATGAGACGAAAAAAAAAACGAGAAAAAAAAAAACGATTGCCATGATAATCATAACTGGCTCTTCATAACCACATTTTGTATAGTCAGCATTGTGTTAATACACAGGCCGTATTTAGTTATGGACTAACGATGAGCTTCATTATTAAAAGAATGAGTTTTCTTTGCAATATTACTTAAGATCATTCCCATTAAATATGTTTTTGTATCGATATTTCCGGGAAATTATGACCATGATAGCCATGTAACATACACGCTTGCAAGGTCGATAGTTGGACGCTCTTTCCGGGTCCATCCAAAGACCAATCACGGTCTCCTGTCTTGAGGATGGAACTATATTGGTATGGACCTCTAACTGATGTCATAGTATTAAAGTGCAGAGTAGGACTGTTAATAAATGAGAAAGTTTACCACTGGTAAAAATGGCAAAAGTGACCTCTAATTAATGCCATATAAGTAGGTGGAGAGTAGGACTATTAGTCTAAATCAAAATATACGATAATTGTTATTTCGTTCAGAGGTCTAGGTACCATTTTCAAGAGACAGGAATTAAGGTAAATACACATTTTTAAAGATTGTTTAAAATAATTTCTAAACCTGTTCAAATATCTGACCCCGCCCACTGTTCTCCAACCCACCCCTTTCTATATTCTGACCCTCTTTAATTCTACGATTCCGTTTTTTTTTGTCTCCGACACTTCTTTCTCTCCCCATGTCTGTGCTTCACCGTCATGTTTGCAAATTAACACCCACTGCCGCCCTTCCTTTCACTCTTTCTCTCCCTCCCATCCCATTCTACCTTTCCGCCTTTCTCTCCCTCATGCTCTCTCCATTCAACGCCCCCTCTCTCTCTCTCTCTATATATCTCTCTCTATCTCCGTCCCTCTCTTCCATCTCAATCTCTTTCCATCCCTTTCCTCTATTTCAATTTCTCTATCTCTCTTTCTCTCCATCTCTCACCTCTCCCCTATATTATCCTTTTCTACCTTTCCGCCTGTCTCTCCCTCACGCTCTCTCCATTCAACGCCCCCTCTCTCTCTAACTATCTGTCCCTCTTCCTCTATTTTAATTTCTCTCTCTCTTTGTCTCCGTCCCTCACTTCCATCTCAATTTGTCACTCTCTCTCTCCGTACCTTTCCTCTATTTCAATCTCTCTCTCTCTCTCTTTCTCTCTTTCTCTCCATCCTTCACCCCTCCCTCTCCCCTATCTTCATTTTTCTCTCTGAAGCATACTTTCTCCTTGATTTTAAACCTATAATAAATTATTCCATGTACAAATCAAATCTTTTTAAAGCCTCTCTAAAGTGTTGGGAGCCCAAACAAATTGATGGCAACATTTCTCTTCAATTGTATAATGACGAAAGTGAAAGAGGATGTCATTTAACACTGACTTCTGCAAGAATTTTCAGGAAATTATCAAAATAGTTCATTACGAGTGATACCCGACCCCTTAATGCGAAGCAAGGCCCCAAAACAGTTGGATTCTTAAAAGTATAAACTTGTAAAATATTGTTCCTCCCGAGGTCATGGTCTGGACATGTGATCGATAGACCATCCATCTTTTTCTGAATAATAATAGAATACCAATGCCACTCCTTGTTTACTGTACAAAATCACATTACTGAGTAAAGGTGCAGCAAGTTAATTTGGGCTAAGTCGTAATACTAAAGATATCAACTGCCTGTTGCTACGATAAATAAGTGAGCTACATTTTATTTGTAATGCTGTGTTACAAAATAGATAAACTTATGCATCAAATGAAAAAGTGGGAATTGGACCCATCTTTACATCGTCAGTCCAAGACTATGTCATCTATTCACAGATCTCACATACATGTAGATCTCTATGTTTGTATCAGATTTCTCAATTTTAAAACAGAGAATAAAATATTGGATGTAATAAATTAACTATTTGAAAGAAAAGACAAGACACTTGAAGCAGAAGTGAGATTTTCAGAAGAAGATAATGAAGAAGAAAAGAAGAAGAGGACGAAAAATAAGAAGAAGATGATGAAGTAGACGAATAAGAAGAAGAAAGGGTAAAAGTAGAAGAAGAAGAAGAATAAGAAGAAAAAGAAGAAGAAGAAGAAGAAGAAGAAGAAAGGGAGAAAAAGAAGTAGGAGGAAAAGGAGAAGAAGAAGAAGCAAGAACAACAATAAAAGCAAGAAGCAGCAACAGCAGCCGCATGTATTAGCAGTATAGTTTTAGTAATAATACTGATGCAGATAATGCCGATGCAGATAATGCTGATGCAGATAATGCTGATATTGATTAAGATGATAATGATAATAATAAAAGTAATACAAATGATAATAATGATAATAATAGTAATGATAATGATAAAAATAATGATGATAATGATGATTATGATAATAAAAATTATAATTATAATAATAACTATAATAATAATAATAATATCAATATTAATAGTGATAATAATAAGGATAATATGATAATGATAATGATGGTGATGATGACGATGATAATGATAATGATGATGATGATGATGATTGGATTTAGTTTTACTTTCAGTCTTGAGACTTACCTTAAGGATTTAGGTAAAACTGAGACCTATCGCCTGTAATGTAAACTGTACTTTTGAACGATTTGCATTTCCCCTATCCAACTAATGTATTATAATTGAGCACACAAAGAATTATACATGAAAATATCATATCGCCACTTCTTTACCTATTAAGTTGCCACATTCAGTTTTATTTAAACTGTACAATATATTAAATAATTTTATACCAAAAATTGTGATATTGTAATCGTGAAACAATGGACAAAAAAGTAATCAGCTGTTTATAATTGCTTTATTTTTTCCCAGAAAAGAAAAACAAGTAGTATTCAACAAGTACAATTGAAAAGGCATAATAAAGTGGAATATCAATACATTGGTACGCAGTAATAACAACAATGATACCATTCCGTTTTATATGGCGCATATCACATTACAAAATTACCTTGTAAAAGTATCCCGGCATTAGCTACGGTAACCGTTATAGGCTCACACTTGTGTGTTCGAATGAAAGAATTTTACAAGGTAATACACATTTATACACTTGCCATGGGTGTAGAGTGACCAATGTAGATTTTATGTCCTGCCACAGAGGACACAATGGAAGATACTCAAGTTCAATCACTTACAAGAATCATGGTTTTCTAGGGGGAGAGATGGCGCGCGTTTTTCCGACGGCTATTTTTCTGAAGGTTCGTAATTCCTAAGCTTCATAATTGGGAAATTAATAAGGTTTATAATTCTGAAAATGAAATATAAAGGTTCATCATTCCAAAGATTACATATGGTTCTATAATTCTATCACCTTTCCTGAATTAAGAACCTCTGGAATTGTGTGCCCTCTTTCATTTTTCGGGATTACGAAACTTTGGAGCAACGAACCTTGGGAAAAATGAACATTCGGAATGAATTTGAGGAATAACGAGCATTCTGAAATATGAACCTTCGTTAAAAATATTTAAAAAACTACATGCAATCGTTTTCCTTATACATGCTAATAGTATCAAGTATCAAGTATCAAGTTTATTTGTCTTCCAGAAAAACACATGTGCAAAAATATAATAGAGTATAATCATAACAGTACAATGTAGAATAAAGAACGACGAGGAGACCTTGGTTGAAGCACAGCTTGTTATACGTTAAGGCCCCCTCATGTGATGTGAAAAAGATAACTGATTCATGAATACAACAACAAATATGGAATAAATAAAGCTATTACAAAATACTCTCAGAGAACAACTACCCAACGATGCATCGACCACAGCATGGATGACTACAACAAGTATACCCGAAGATGCGCACATCCCCATCACACCGGGTGAGCTAACAAACTCACCGTATGTGTGAAAATATGTATCATATGAGCAAAAATCAACCCTCCCACGGGAGGGTGATCTAATATGGACAAACCCAAGCTGACACCAAATCGAGACATCAATGAGTTATTGCTCTCTGAGTGCAGAGGTCAAGTAGGAATATTTTGTATATGTACAGAGGGGAAAGAAGAAGAACAAAAAGAAAAGGGATCAAGGGGGTTATGTCAAAGTCAAGAAATAACGAAAAATAGATCGAGAGTATAGTTAAATATGCAACAGTACACAAAAAAATAAAGCTTGATAACACATTCATGTGTCATCGACATACTTGTGAATATGAGCCTTTGTTTAAAAAAAACAACGCAAAAACGACATGTAATCGTTTTCCTCGTACATGTACCATGTTCATAGTAACGTCGAGAGAGGCAAGTATTGATCAAATGCCTAGTCAAATGCCATTGTACGCATCCGGCAAAGATTCGAACCCTCAACCTCCCGATTCAAAGTCAAGGACATGAACCATGAACCATATACATTCAAATTGTAAAAGGAGGAAGTGTACATTCACCACACTCGTATTTCAGATTACTCTCTATAAATAAGTTATAAAAATCAAATTTTCCCAGTATTGATGAACATCACCTGACTTTAACATAAAAACAAAACAACGAGTGCAGGACGAATGTATTAGACTACATAAAGTGATACTATTTTTTTTTATATATGTTATAAATATTTCTCTATCACCACAAATATGAAACATTTAAGATACAATTTTTATATAAGAGAATACAAACAAAAAGTATAGGGGAATTCGACGTATTTGGAAGCCAGCAGAGCTACAAAAAAGTACAGGGGCGTTTAGTAGGCCCCGGAATACATCATTATTTCATTTGATTTATTTCATCTATAATAATGCACATATACCTTGTAAAAGATATGTTTAAAAAAAAACATAGAAAATGTTGGTATTATCTCGTATATTTTCTATTAAATTCCAGATGTTTTGACATATTGTTGAGAGGACCAAACCCCATTACCGTAATAGAAAAAGCAATATATTGTATGAACGTCAGTGTTGAATAAAAAATCCTGACCAAGTTTCATCATTGTAGCTCATGTGAATTTGGTAAACTAGTTTGATATGTTCTATTCAATGTCAATTATAAAAAACAGCGTGAAAAAAAATTATCATTGAAGTTATGGTTCAGTATTTTTAGCCAATTAGAGATCTGCCACATTGTCACGTGGTAAATATTCAAAATAGAGAGATTTAATATACACATGTATCCCGTTTCCCGTATTAAATATCTTTTTTCATGACTTTGAAGAACCAATCTCTCCTATGAAGTAGATGCAAGGGGCACGATGTATACCAAAAAAAAAAAAGGAAAGGGAGAAAGGGAAAGGAAAAGTGAAAAGAAGTAAATAAAGTATCCTGCCTCGTTCCCCCCGTAGGTAGCCTCGACAATTTATACTTACATCCATCTAATAAAATTACTGCCCATCCCAGTAATGCCAGAGGCCCCCGCTACACCACTGCCTTACTGAATGATTATATTCTCGTCTAGCTATCTCTTCTTGGTGCTATGTCTTGAGGGTATCGAGTCCATTTGTCTTGTCCTAACCTGAACGTTGGAGAAGAGAACAAGGTCACAATAGAGATATGTACAAAATATAAAACGGTGCTTTCCACGCCTTGAAAATGAGTTGAGTGAATTAGTCATCCTTGCACAGTCAATTTGAGAAAAAATGAGACTTTGTGTAACATTTCTGTACAAAACAATGAGAGTGTAACTCGGAAAACAGCACTTTGTTCTAAATCAAGACTGAAACATTTTTGCGCAGACCAATTTTTACGAGCTTTTTGAAATTAGGCAGTGCTCACTCAAGCATAAAATGTTGTCAATCCTTATAGTGCTATACGTTTAAAAAGACCCTTACCCATAATTAAGCATACACGGCATCAAACACAAAATCGTATAGTGCTCTTGCCAAAAAAAGTTGGTCTTAATTTTGAAAAAGGTACTTCTGCAAATTATTATATATATAAATATATATTTATATTCAGGGAAAAATTATGAGAGCTCGGTTAGCAGAGGTGTTGTGTTGTATTTGGTGTTTCCGGACTGTGAACCATAAGGTACGGGCTTCGAATGCCTATTGCTGAGCAATTGTACTTAAGCAAGACATTTATCTACATTTGACCAAGGTGTAGGAAGTGGATACCTGGCAGGATTTATTCCTTGAATGCACCGAGCGCCTATGTTTGCCGGAGCTAAAGAAGGGGGGTAATAGCATCCAAAGAGTATCCCTTAAGAGCGCATAGAGAGGTTCTATCATTATGTGATACGCGATTTACAAGAAAGAAAAACTAATATTGTAAGTATGAGGGGGAGACATACCTGTTTGACAGTAATCCCCCTTGAAGCCTTCGGGACAGAAGCACTGGAAACTTCCATGGATGCCTGACCATGTTCCTCCATTCTGGCAAGGGTTACATTCTGGAAAGTAGCATCGTTCATTCAGTAAAAGTAATGAAAGTATTGATATTCTTTCACATCAAAATGGCTAAATTGTCTTTTTTTGTACTTTTTTTGTAATTTGGTGGAGAATTAATAAGCATTAGCAAATATTAGCAAAATACCTTGTTGATTTTACAACTTTAATAACGTAATAAAGATCAATATAGGTTTCAAAATTTTGCAAATTGGTCGCGCAGAGGTATTATGTTTTAGTTGTTTTTCTTATTGTTAATTTATCAACTGTCGTGCTTTTTTCTTCATAAAAGTTCCCTTTTAAAACTATTTCAACGTATTTCGAGGTTAAAAGAGTTTTCCATGTTTGTTTCTATAGATTAACGAATACGTTTATTAATGTTTTAATGTTAGAAGAAATACACATCTCACCTTCAGTCCTTTCTGCTGTTAGATTCACCAAGAATCCACTTCCAATAAGCGAACCGATCGCTCTACTGGAGTCCCCAGTATCCGACACAAATCTAAACCACAATTCTCGAGTGGGGGAGGTAATATCTTCCGGCAATTCACTTCCAGTCAACTCCACTAGGGTTGTGGATCTTAAAGGACTCGAGCCGTAGCCCACGGCAAGCAAAGAACCGTCGGCGAGGTTAAAGAAGTCGAAACGCGCCCTCACACTGTGATCCTGAGGAGCCATTATCCGCCAAATCTCGTGCACGCTGTCGCTTGCACCAAGAGAAAAGTCTGGAGAGTGGAGCTGTTGGACCGTAGACTCCTTCACTAAGATTAGAGGATTATCATCTGTTACCAAAAAAAGAAAAGAAGGATAACACTAAATGTGGCAGAAATACGGGCATGTTTTTTCCTATAAAAAAGACATACGAGAATAAAATAAGAAATTGTATGTTTGATGTGTAATAATTTTAAGATCATCTGATCATTCGGAAGATTTTTAAATCCCTAGAGTTTCAAAATGACACAAAGACGACCTTATTACCTCTCGGATCCACAGCGTTCAGTGTTGCCATGAATCCAACGTCAGTGTTAAAGGGGTCACTCTTGAATTTGAGCCACATATGGCGGTCATGTGACGTCACAGTTGAATTTAACCCATAGCCAGTCAGCTTCGCAAGCTCTGTGTAACTCAGGGGCGTCAGTCCATCGCCCACCAACAAGATGTCGGCGTTAAATTTGGTAGCGATGTGGACGATGTCCAGCCTGACGCTGTGTCCAACAGGGGCCGATACCTTCCAGACGATGTTATCGCCGATGTTGTAGTTGGAAGGGTAGTTTGGAGAAGTGATGGTCACTGAGACGGCACGCTCAAGGGTAATTTCAGTAACACCCGGTGTTATTGCTGGAAGAAATATAAATGTAACCAGAATGCTTATGATTCTTTTTTAATCCATGAATAACGCAAAAATATATTTTTGAGACCATAATTTCAAGACGGAAATTGAACCTTGAAATATGACTACTGTGAACTTATAATCGGAAGAATTCGGACTCCTATCGAAGGACAGGTTGATGTGCTGGCCAGAGGGCCACTTCACTTTACAACTGCTGCTCCCAAACTGTGGAATAACCTACTGATGTAACCACCTATAACCTGTAACCACCTATCTGTAAATACCTTCAAAATTATCTCAAAACTTTCCTTTTCTGTTAACAATATAACCGTAATGCGCATTTGAACATTGTATATAGAAACATTATTAATATTATTATTATCATTATTATTCACGGTCAAAGGGGCCAGTTGATCAAATACAATAATGGGAAACAGAAGGCTTCAAAAAGTTACAATTGGCTAGTCGCACATACATTCATTGGTTTAACCTTTAGCCGAAGTCCTCTCCATAAAATTCCAAAATATTTCAAAGAATCAACTCCTCAGCAATTTTAATGGCATGTAAAAAATAATTGGATAACTTAATACGCCATTGTAATGCAAGCACATTTCAGTAGGTGGTGGACAAGGCTTTTGAAATTGCCGTGTATTGTTTTTTATGTTGTTGTTGTTGTTGAAAGTCTTGTTTCTCCTGCACAGGTGTACTCACCTCCTGAAACCACAGCTGTAATAAATGACTGGAACTTTGAGATTCTGGTGTAGACGCCGGGCAAGCGTTCTTCAGCGCATCCTCCTCCAAAGCTTGTTAGTCCGACCAGATGCCATCGACCATCATCACCCTCACAGGTCAAAGGCCCACCGCTGTCTCCCTGATTTTTGTAATAATAAACACGAGATAATAAAATTTAATTGGATGACTTGCAAACTAAACAAATATCCTACATAGGACCACACACATGTGCAGCTTTCGAAAAAGTACATGTATTCAGAACCTGGCAGTTTGATATATATTAAAAGGGTATGCAAGTCAATGTGTCCAAATTCTGAAACAAAGACAAAAAGGATATGAAATTGAAAATTACTGAGTGAAAAAAAATACCATTGCAGTCAGTGTCACAGTTATGAGGGAAACGGGAGTACAGCCCAAATAATCGGTCTAATGAAAATAAAATATGATGGGAGAGCAGAAAAACAACTTGGGTAAAAGGTAATGACTCAATCCTATGCCCTTATCTCCTTCCATGCTATCGTAGTAGAGAGGTTTGAGCGCAATACTGGAAATTCGAGGGTCATGGGTTTGACTCCTGGCACGGCACTGATGTCCATTGACAAGGCCTTAATCTACATTTGCTACTCCATACCCAGGATTTAATGTGGACACTGTAGGAGCACGAAGCCTATGTGATAGTTATTGTTTTATGCCCTCACGGCGACCATGTGGTCGGAATACTCTCCAAAAAATGGAGATGCTGCACATTTTGCGTATGAATGAATCCGGTGTCCGGGATAATTATATCTTTAAAACGCTTAGACAGGGTAACCCCCCCTTCAGTTTTTGTTATGTGTGTATTTTGAAGCCAAACCCCCCTCTGTGTTTCTTTTTTCTTTTTTCTTTTTTTAATTAAAAAATAAAAATAAAAAATAAAATAAAAATTATGCCAATGGCTGACCTAAAAGAGATGACCTTACCCCCAACAAAAAGTGTCCTCTTATCCCCCGCTTATTTAGGAGCTGGCTGAGTCGTCGCGATTTTGTTGGGACCCCCTCCCCCCCCCCCCAAAAAAAAAAAAAAAAAAAAAAAAAAAATTGTCCTCTTACCCCCCGCTTATTCAGCGGCTGGCTGTTAACCCCCCCCCTGAAAAAATCCTGCGTACCCCACTGGTAGTAGTAGTAGTAGTAGTAGTAGTAGTAGTAGAAGTAGTAGTAGCATTCTCTTTAATTCAATCCTCATAACAGTTGCCTATTGTGTCCGATACCGCCGCCCCCATGATACCTGTGCCCCCATGGTTAACACTCAGGCTACGCCAAAGATAGCAGTTACCTGACAAGTATCAATTCCACCTGGGTCTAGTTCAGCACATATCATTTCTTCTGTCAGAGTCTCCTGGTACGAAGAATTGCACCCGCCTTGGTTAGGAAGGGTCACCACTACTTTTTTCAAGCTCTCTGTCAACGCTGCGAAAGATTAAAGTAAATCATCGTTTACATCTTCTGTAAGCAAACGAATTTCAAGTCAAGTTATCATCAAATGTTTGAAACCATTTAAAGAGTTATGGAAAGGTAAAGTGGTTTCAACACTGCTATTTGTAAAGCGCTTAGAGACATTTGTATTAAGCGCTATATAAAAATTAAATATTATTATTATTATTATTATTTAGCATGATTTTTCATTTTTTAACCAACTAATAAATACAGTATTTAATGATATTTAGGTGAATAGGGGTATCAAGTTAGGTGGATGAAATCATATTGGTTATGAATTTTGAGATCTACGTGAAGAAGAACTACTGAAGTGATTGTTCAAAGCTTCTCTGTTTGAAAGAGGCCTTTTGGATATCACATTCCTGTCAATCAGATAACCTAGATAATTGATTGGCTAACCCCTGTAGGAAAGGAGCAACCTATATCAGCAACTAAATAGTGAAGCACAGTAATGTTGTTGATTCAATTTCAATTCAATACAATTTAATTGTGTCATTCATTGTAAGTAAAAATATATATATTATTATATTCACAAATAAATACATAAAGTAAATCATGATTTAACCTGGCTAATGATATGAATAAATACCTGAGCCTTAAAAAGAATGAAAATAAATGAATATTGGAAAACTTAAAGAAAAGTCCTAGGTCCTTGTATTAGGCTAGCCGTCCACGAGCATAATTTTCACAAGACTGGATAAATATGAAGGCAAAGAAGATCAAAATAATTAAACATATCAGAATCAACTTGCATACAGGAAACCAGTTTAAAACAAAAAACATGCACATCATGTTTGAAAAGAGTGGCCGACAGTTTGAATCTCTTCCCGCTGCGCATATTCTTAGACGAAGTATTTTATTTTCAGTCGTCTCTCTTGACACAGGCGTAGTGAATGGGTACTGGTGTAATGGAGTAATATATATACTCTGACATGCACTGTAAGGTGATACCGGCACCCGTATAAAACTGAAGAAATCGTATCGCATTTAAGGACACACACACGCACACACACTTCGTTTCATTTGAGTAATTCGCTTTACAAAATGGAAAATGTTCTTTCATTATCATCATTATTATCATTATCAAAGCCTCATCTGTTGCTGTCTTCAAATTTTTGTTGAAGATGCACTTGTTTTCAGGATTAATATGTTTATTCATTATTGTTTGTCTGTATAGTAGCACAGTTAGGAGTTTTGATTTCATTACAGAGCATTAGAGTGGCTGCGCTATGTAAATTAATCTAATTATTATTATCATCATCAAATATAAATTAAAACAATGCATACGTGAGCCTTCCAGTATAGTTGCCCATCCAGCGACGAGACAGCGACGATAGTCATTGAGTTCATCCGAGGATTCCGACAGACACGCGGGTCTGACGTAGTCACTAAATGTCACCGGTTCAGCAAGTCGTATCAGAGCGATGTCGTTGTAGAGCCAATAGACGTCGTACTCGGGATGGACGAAAATATCAGCCACCTCAATCGCTACTTCGTTGTCGGAGTCATCCGTCAAATGTGCGTTCCCAAAAACCACACGATCGACGTAGTAATCACTATAAATGATATTGGATGTAAAATCAGTGATTTTTACTAGGGCGAAATATAATCATGTATATCAAAAGGACATCTCAATGGAGCTGCATTTATTTGAGCATGATATATATTATATATTAACTGTAGTTTCATACATGTACATCATGATTTTATTATAAACTAGACCTGCAATCGTGGCACTACGATATGCGTGCAATGACGGGCGATGTGGCACTAACGGTCGTCTATACTTACATAATCATAAACAGTATAATATGGTGTCTAAAATGCGATTAACTCACAATTTTGTGTGTGAACATATATCATACTTGGTATCATTCGAAAAGGCACTTCATTGCGGTCAGTTTGACACCATTGTCATCTGCGCGCAATGTACTGCTAGCATTAAACGCGCTATTACGTAATGCATAGTAAATTCATCATTTTGGGCGATAACTTTGTGCTGACATAATTGAATTTTACTAAACTTAGCAGACAGTTGTCACGTATACATGTGTCTGCAAAGTTTCATTGACGTAGGCATAAGGATCGTAATTTTAGAGCAAGTTGAAGTTATTTCGCAATTTTCTTGAAAACTGCATATTTGGAGGGCATTTTTTGCAAAGTCGGTCACCGTTAGGGTTTATAATTTTGCATTAGGCTGGAAAGGGCATATCTTCAAGTATCTAAATCCAAAAATTTTATTTCATACATACATACAATTGCTTTTCATATAGCGCAAAGTTCAATAAAGTATTGCTTAATGCCTTTTACATGATATTGTGATTGGGTAGATCTGTTCAAAAGAACGGATATAGAATTTGGTGCACATATATTGACTACTAGTGATACTTTATACAGTGCGTCCCAGAAAAAACGAAACCGAGAAGTATCGATGTTTTATCATAACTTAATCACAACCATAATTGATGAATGATACATATTTGGAAAGCTCTGTTTGTTTAAAGTAGCCCCTACATTTTCATAATTTTAACAAACGAATTCGTTTTCACTGGGTGCTTGCCGTAGCAAAAAGCAGATTTGACAAAAGACTTAACTCCGTTTCGTTGACAATCAGCCATGCATGAAGACTCTCGTCTAGGCTGATTGTCAACGAAACGGAGTTAAGTCTTTTGTTAATTTCGTTTATTGATACGGCGGGCAGCCAGTGAAAACGAATTCGTTCAATAAAATTATGGAAATGCAAGCACTACTTTAAACAAACAGAACTTTGTCATTCCTCGCTCATTTTTCCTGATTGAGGGGTCATATGAAAGGGCAAAAACTCAACTTTCTAGAAATTTGATTTTTTCCTCGAAATTCAGATACCGCCCGCCAAATGTCTTTTTGGTTTACTTCCTTCAAATTGCTTTTAATCACTCATGCATGAAATACGCATCATCTGAGTAGCATCACATGAACGAGGAGACTCTAAGCTTTCCAAATATGTATCATTCATTGATTATTGTTGATTAAGTTATGATAGAACATCGATACTTCTCGGTTTCGTTTTTTCTGGGACGCACTGTATTATAAACTTTCATGACTATGATTATTTATACGAAAACTCGGTACATAATTTGTTTAATTATTTACATGCATTCTAGAGGTAAACACGTCGTTCGCTACTATAAAAATTGGACTAAGTAAATATCCCTATGAAGGTAAGGTGTAAATTCGCTTCCATTTCCACAGAGCAAACGAGTCTGATTAGTGGCATCATACTTACACGCAGTGAGCTGCGGTAATAACCCATTGAGAGTTGATCAGGGTAGACCCACACCAACGTCTTTCAAATTTCAATCCGTCGATGCGGAGTGAACCAATCCAAGGGAATTCCCCTGGGCGTGCGTTGGTACCACCAAGAACCCTGTATTGATCTGGTGTGTATGCAGGGCGTGTCCCGCATATTTTGGTATCGAAAAGATCTGGGGGAGGAATAAAGTCGCAAGTCAGTGGCACAACGACGGGAAGGGAAGGGACATCCACCCAATTTGAATAGCCCCCCTTCGCCTCCCCCCAGCAAATGAAACAAAACAAAGCATAAATCGAAAATAAAATGAAAAGAGGGAAAAGGAGGCCCAAAAAAGATGACAGACAATCTTTGAATACTCTCCAATCTACCTCCCATTTGGTTGCTGATTTTCTTGTTTCTCTAGAAATCCACTTGGCAGTAAGATCAGTGCCGCCATCCCATCTCATTAGCTGTACGCCACTGCCACGTGTGATGAATTCAATAGAAAATGCCGACATATTTTCTTCGGTTTTATGAACTATGATTTATAAACACTTAGGGCATCTTGTTAAGTCCAAGCATATTCTTAACTCGATATCATCTACATGAATATCGCTGCATGGTCTTTACCTCCCATAGGGCCAAAACAGCTCCCATCTTCCTCCTGTTCATCGGTAAACATCGAACAGTTGACGGGCCATGGACGGTCGAGGAGTTGCTCAAAGGATGCCTTGCAGGCATCAGTGACTGCCAAACAGTCGGAGTAGCAAACCCGATGGGTGGGGCCGTTATGGGTGCATTCCGGATAGTAAACGGAGCACATGATAGGGAACAGGTGATCATGGCACGATGATATAGTATCTGCCTATGGTAGGTCATTAGAAAGTATAAACTTTGAGGATTTCACGTCAGGATTTTCAAAGGCAATTGCAACGTAGATGTGTATGGTACATCAACAACTTCAGTGTAGCCAGCAGCTCTTGCAAGTGGTAGGGGGGACCACGTGCCGACAAATATAACATAAATTATGTATTTTCATACAAACAATAAATATTACATCAAAAAAGATCTCCAACATATTTTCAGTCGTTACATCTCTGAAATATACATCCTTCTGTGTGATTATCTTTGCTATCATGCATATCCCCTCGAAAATAATCACTTATACAAAAAAAAAAAACAATTACTGAATGCGTATTAACAAATACCAAATTCATTGGTTGATATACAGGTCAATAATCGTAGTCAGACAGTGTTCTACTAAAGTTAAAACTAATTAATTAATCGTTCCTGGCATTATCTATGAAAACCACCAACAATCTGGACAAATCCATCAATAATAATGAAAAACTTAACATTTCTTTATAAAGCAATTAAAAAGACATTCCGCTGCTTACCATGTCTGGAAAGCTTCCCGCTGCAGCGTCTGCTGTCTCTGCGTTCCGATTCGGGAAAAAAGTCAAATCGTAGGCCAGGTTCTGTCTACATATATCAAATTGAACTTGTTCGCAGTACGCTGGGTAGGAGAAAATCGATCAATGAAGGGTAAAAAACAGCGATAACATGTCAGAGAAATCGGGAAAGCAGACAACCTATATGACACATTCCCCGTGTCCACACACAACATTTTCCGTGATTAGGCGTGATTAGTTACACCGTTTCGGGATAGTTATACTGTTTCGCGATAGTTATACTATGAAATTGTGTGTGTGGACGCTTACTAACTATACGTCGTATAACGAAACGTCGTATAACGAAACGATGCCCAAACATGCGTTTCGTTATACGACGTAAAACTAATCACGCCTAATCGCACCTAATCACGGAATATGTTGTGTGTGGATGTAATTGATGTGTTTGGGGGAACTGCTTAACAAATACTCAGGGGAAAAAAAAAAAACTCTCTCTAAAGTAAAAGTATAGAAACTCCCTCAATATATAGAGATAACATAGAAATGCATTAATACAATACAATGTGTGCAATACAATTGAAGGAAACTACATGTATAACCATATGAATTAATTAAAAAGCGAATGTAAACGTTAAATCAAAACTTACGACAGTATTCCTCCTCTGAGAAATCGAGACAGTCGTTATTTCCGTCACAACTTGCCGATTCGTTGATACACATTCCACTAGAACATTGCACTTGACCGCTGCTGCATCCTGTCATGAAGTATTTAAAGAATCGAATTATAGATAATCTCAATTCTAGTAAACAATTTGTTATCGTGTACTTTAACTGATAGATTCCGAATAGCAATATAAGGTCTGGGCTCCGTCTTATAAAGAGTTGATATTAATCGCAACTTAGATACGATTGATATCAATCGCAATAATATACATAAGAAATAGGAGGCTGCAAACTTGCGATTGATGTAGCCTATTCGATATGCGTCGGGCTGTATATACTGATCGCGTTATGGAGACTGACATCGGCGCGGGCGTCAGCCCGAGCGCCTATCATTACTAGTTTTGTTTTGTAATATTCTTTATTGTATTCACTCAATAAATAATATTAATTCATACAAATTGTAATATATAACATATTGAAACAAATTACAGAGTACAAAATACAGTAATCTCAATTATATTGAATGAATTAATATTGTTATAACCCCCCCCCCCCTCTATATTTTGTTCTGTGTTACTAGTATCCCTATTACATATTACAATTTATAACATATTGGAACAAAGTACAGACTACAATCAACTTAGTTATATCGAATGAATAAAGTTTGTTAAATCCCCTACCCCCGTTAAAAACAAAACCAACAACAACAAACACAAAACAAACAAAAAACCAAAAAAAAAGAAAACAAAAACAAAAACAAAAAACAAAACAAAAAAACAAAAAAACAAAAAAACGATACAAGAAGACTAGTGAACTCATCATTATTCATATTATGTGTATCGTATTTGTGACGAGCGTATTCTCATGCATGATTCATAAGACTAGCCTTAGTTGGTGATCAATCACTTTGATTTAACCAATCAAATATCACCTCCAGTTTCCTCATCGCTCATTGGCCTATTTTGGTCCGTGCAACATAAATATTCATGAAAGAGCTTTACAGGTGGTTCGTAGATTTTCTACGAACGAAACAATGGACATGAAAGAAAATAAAACTTTTCGCATGCACCAGTGATGATAGGCGCTCGGGCTGACGCCCGCGCCGATGTCAGTCTCCCAAACGCAATAAGTATACTTGTAAAGCCCGACGCATATCGGATAGGCTACGATTGATGCGGATCAATCCCAACTCTTTTTTAGAAGGGGTACCTAATGTAATATTTTGAGTATAATTGAAATAATCACTCTGGACAAGAAATCAAATATTATGAGGCACGACCCTTTTTTTAAACAACATGCATTTTTCGTCAGATGTCTTAAACATAACTGGCAAACAAATTATCGTAGGCCTACCAATCTTTAACAACCTCTGTCAGCGCAGTGACTAGGTCACTGGTTTGTAACTTATTTATCAGGCGGGAAAGGAATATTTCTGAAATTACGTTTTAATACAGGCCTCTGTGTATTACACTTCACCAAAAACCAATCTAGTGTTAGTGGAATATTTTCCCTCCTGCTTCATAGGAAATTGAAGGATACTATATAAATTATCCTTACTTTCATTTCTGATAATTTATTACTTCAAAGCATTCTAGATAAAAAATTGTGAGTGAGGGAAGTAAATTGTTGATGCGTTAATAATCAGTGATATGGTATTACGTATCCACCTACAGCAGTGGAGAATTTTCTTTCTTTTTGACTATTTAAAATGATGATAAGCCGAATTAAATCGTCTTGCGTGCCCCGTGTGGCCCAGGGGTTGCTAATAAGAAACATAACTAAAAAATAATAAGAAGAAGAATGCCCTAAGGCGTTAAAAGGATTCAAGGAATAAATTCCTACCGGGTTGCCGTTTACTATGTCTGGAAGGATATTAACAAAGATAGATTAATGTCTTGCCAAAGGACATTAGTGCCTCGGCGGGACTCGAAGCGAAAACCATATGATCCACAGTCCGGTGACGTATCCACTAGACCACGACACCAGAACCTATTGCTAATATGATCTTACCAGGGTTTAGTATAGCTGTGACACGAAGACTGAATCCAATATCACCCGTTGAGACATCTGTGGTGAACCTGACCCACATAGAGTGACCGGGTGTAGCGGGTTCACTGGAATTGCTATACCCAGTCAGTTTCTGAAGCTCCCAAGAACCAGGTTTATTGGGACCAGGCCCATAACCAATGTACAAGTAGTCGTATTTCGTTTCTAGGGCCAGCTCTAGAATATGTATCTGAAGGATGTGACCCTCTGGAGCCTTGAGTACCCAAGTAAGGTCGAGGTTCGAGCCGTAGTAGGAGGATGGATAGCCGGGTGAAGATATGACGGTGGGTTCGTTCCATTCAATTTCTATCACAGTGATGCTGGTATCTGTGCAATGAATTCATAATAATAATAATAATAATAATAATAATAATAATAATAATAATAATAATAATAATAATAATAATAATAATAATAATAATAATAATAATAGTAATATAAATAATAACGATGAAAATAATAAAATAATAATGAAATGGTGATAAGAGTGATTAAAAAAGTAATAATATCTTTAAACCAAAGAAGCCAAGGCATAAACGGTGTTCTTCTTTAGAGTCCTGCAATTATTCTTATCCCAGCAATTGCCAGCATCATGAAAGATTTTTCGAAAGAAAAGTAGAAGGTACCAGACTAAGAGGAAAAACAGTAAGTAACTAGAAGGGGAACGTTGCGACATGGTGTGCAATGACAATACGAGAGTATACCAAGATAGCAGAAAACAGAGATGTGTGGAAAAATGTTACAATCAGCCTCCAAGCTGAGAGAAGATATTTTGATAGATATATAGAATTGACAGACACCCGATGTACACAACGATACATCCACTGAAGACAAGACAGCCAGGAATTGAAAATGCCATTTCATGAACTATCTACTCTAGCCGCAACGCACCCATCCCATCTCTAGGAAATAAAGTGTAATGTACTTCAGAACTTGAACGAGTTTAATTAGATCACTTTAAACCCTACAAAAATATGAAACCGTTACAACATTTCCGAATTCATTGTAGCAGGTTCCTCCATTGTAGCAGCGGTTCTCGAACCGACATTCATTGTTATCTGGGAGCAGCAAGGAAGGAAAATTGATTTTGTTTTGACTGGATAAAAGCATAATTAAAGGTACTATGTCCCATTTGCAGGCCACAAACATGAAAAGGTTAAATTCCAACAGCATTTGAAAGACAATACTAATTTAGAACTTCCCTATAAAAAAGTGGGCTTGAAAATGTCTTTAAGTGGGAAAATAACGACTATAAGTTGTCAAATCGACTTAGGAGCTATAGAGCTAATAAGGTATAGTCTGATTTTCAGACTATTGTACCGAATGGTTGTACGTTTTATGCTGCATAAAGATTTAATCGGTTTAATTTTGGCCATTACAAGAAGTGGGTTATTGATGTAGACAAATGCTCATGAACCCCTTATGGCTCATTTTATACCAAAGATGAACAAAGCCAGTCAGTCACTCAATAGTGTCTGACAGTGAAGTCTAGCAAGTAAACGGGTTTCCTTGCATAATTTGAATATTAGGACACTGTTAACGTTTAAATTTCACAGCTAGGACATACATGACATATTCATAATTCCTGCAAAGTTCTACAGAATTTGATGTTGGCTGCAAAAGGGACACATAGAAAACAATGGTTAATCGGTGACCATTGGTCCCCCATGATCCTCCTTTTCTTATGTTAATTGAGAGCTTAGTTGATGAGATAACCACCTGTCAGTGACCAAGTGGGAGGTCTAATCCCTCCTGTCCAAACTAGTGCAGGTGGGATTTAAATGCTGTTTCATATCCTCATCCATGTACATAATAATCAGAAATTAAAAAGTCTACCGAAATAAAGGACGGGGTATAAATAATATTTTCTTCCTGAATAACTTCCAATTGTTTTGTTTTACCTGAATGCTAAGAAAGTATGTGTATGCTTGTAAGTAGGGAACCAGGGAAACGCCGACTTTAAGTCCTCTCCGAGGGACTTGCTAATGAGGATTAATACCTTACCGAAGTGCACAAGCGTCGACTTGGTTTCGAACCCGTGACCTCCAGGTGACTAGACCACTGCTCTACCACCGAACCATCGCTAAGTACTACTCTTGTTTTAGCCGACAGGCCAAATGTGTAGCCCTCAAGTATATCAGATACCCAGTGTAATTTTTTCATCATTGTGTCTGTAAAATGTCGCGTGGCCCGAATGATCCCCAAGGGAGTTAAGTTTTAAAACAATGCAACGTTTGTGTGCAATTTTGATGTTGTTAAATATAATCATGTATTCACATTTATATGAAATATGCTATTTTTTTTCCATAAACCATGACAAGATACATAGAAATTATTAAGTTCAATGTATACCAAATCCACAATAGCGAAGAGCACGTCTTAATGTGTATGATATTAATCATTTCTACGAAGTACGCATTAATAACTTCAAATCAGCAATATTTATACATTTTTATGAACGATTTTCATCTATTTTAAATTCCTTGTTGCAATTTGTACTCTATCTAGTTTCAACTACATAACATTTTGTTAGTAAAATATTAATGTGTCCAATTAAGAAACATTTTGACGACGAAATACTTATTCATTCAGCTATTTAGCAAATCGTTTTCCTTGGTCAGTTGAATTGGAATAATACTAGTATAAGAATTATCTTACCTGTATTTTCTGCAGATGTATACGGCAGAACAGAGACAGCCAAAAACCCAAACACGATGAACATTATCCCCATTTCTCTTCGTGAAACTTCTCCACCTATGAAAATAAAAGAATGTTTGATTATCGTGTAAAAGTTTTTAATGATTCATAGTCCAGTGCGTCCCAGAAAAAACGAAACCGAGAATTATCGATGTTTTATCATAACTTTGATAGTCACATTTATAATTAATAAATGACACATATTTGGAAAGCTTAGATCCTCCTCTTCCATTTGATGCAACTCATATGATGCATATTTCACGCATGAGTGATTAAAATCAATTTGAAGAGAGGAAACCAAAAAGTCATTTGTACAAAAGACTTAACTCCGTTTCGTTGACAATCAACCATGCATGCATTTTTTCGTCTACGGCTGATTGCCAACGAAACGGAGTTAAGTCTTTTGATAATTCAGTTTGTTGCTACGGCAGGCAGCCAGTGAAAACGAATTCGTTTAATAAAATTATGGAAATGCAAGCACTACTTTAAACAAACAGAACTTTGTTATTACTAGCTCATTTTTTTCAATTCAGATACCGTCCGCCAAATGACCTTTTGGTTTCCTCTCTTCAAATTCACTTTAATCACTCATGCATGAAATATGCATTATAAGAGTTGCATCATATGAAAGAGGAGGATCTAAGATTTACAAATATGATTCATTTATCAATTATAATTGTGATTAAGTTATGATAAATCATCGATTCTATCATAGTTCTCGGTTTCGTTTTTTCTGGAACGCACTGTATAGTTGCGCAAGTGCATGCTGTAAAATGATTATCGTATCAGAGGAGATGGTACGAATAATGTTATTAAATAAGTTGCCATAGAGGATATGTCAGGAAAATCCCACTTTCGATTCATGTTCTTCACGATTGGAAAAGTGCCCTTCTTGGAGTTGCACCCCAAGTGGAGACCAACAAAACCGACAACAACAACGAAAAACAAAATATAAAAGATAACGCTGCTTACCGCTAAATTACATTAATTTAAAAACAATATAATATACTTTAAACGCTCAGGAAAAGAGGCATTCAGGCATATATTATAACTATTAACCTCCATATAGAACTTTTTCTCCGCAACTTGGTATATAAACTCCAAATAGTAACTAAACAATACAGAAATATCTGTATGATGTAATGATGAATTCTTTGGCGTTTAAAGCTTTTCTCAATCTCTGGTAATCTCATAACGAAGAAAAATTGCAATCGATATTCCTCCCACTCTTTCCACTTCGATCGATACCATATATTTAACTCTGCAGAAGAAGAAGGTTTTCAATTTTGTTCTACCCTTGGTGAAACCTTCCTTTTTTCTTCAAATCTTGCCATTTAGATCATCAACTATCCAGCAATCGAGCCCCCTTGTGAAAACGTACGTTATTTTTCGTAAAGCCTGACAGCATTGGATTGGCAAGGCCTGTGCCTATACCAGCAGCTGTCTTGGTTCTGCATTGATATTTTTGCGAATTTACTAATGTTCTCCAGTGGTATTGATGGGATTTTTTGGGACATTGGTAAAGTCCCTATCTCACTGAGCAGGAAATGCTTGCGAACGTAGCGAATTTGGGGGTTTTGCCAGGGTTCGTAAAAGATGGCAAGAGAGTTTGCAAACAGTTTTCATTGTCGTAAACAGTTTTTCTTGTCGTAAGGAAATTTTAAACACGTTCAAAATTTCTTTGCGAATTTATTTTCCGCAAACAGTTGCAAGCGTTTGCAAAACAGTCGTAAGCCTTTGCAAACAGTTGTAAGACGGTGTCGCTGAAGTTCTTTTTGATTCGCCAATGCTAGCGACCACGTTACCATAATGGTTCCTATATCAAAATCGATCCATTGCTTACCAAGAGTTAGCAAAAGGTCCCAAACATTCACAATTAGTGGCAAAAAATTGGCAAATAGTTGCTAATCTTCTCAAAAACTGTCGCTAACATTTGCTTACAGTCGCTAATAGACACCAACTGCCTTTCGCAAACATTCTCTCAAATGTTGCTAATCGACGCTAAACATCGCTAAAAGTCGCTAGTTTTCGCCAACATTCGTCAGAAAAGTTGGCGAATCCAAAATTCGCTACCCTCGCAAGCATTCGCAGCTCAGTGAGATAGGGCCTGTAAGCGACCGTGATATGACAGGATTGCAATGGAGCGAATAGTCGATGCTTAAGCCCCAGTCTTATGAATAATGATACTAATTATTCAATTCGTATATACTTGAAAATAACATGAAGAAGTATAATTTTACATCGCCATCAACGGAAGGATATGAATACTCTAAAAAGCCCATGAATTCAGATAATACCTAATGTACAAGAGATTCAATTATTACTTGAAATCGACAAGATATATATTCGTTTATCTAAAATGACTTGGGAATTCATATTTTAAAAAAATAGTCACAATTACTCGGCATTTAATACCTGCAATTTTTACACGGTATGCATTTGCGAAACGCATTCATATTACGGCAAAGAAAATTATTGAGACGAAAACTTTCAAATACGTTTTTAAGCAGTAATTAAAAAGAAAAGATTTATTATAAACAATTAGTCAACCACATTCTTGTTCAAACCAAAAAGACAAACGCGGAACTTTTAATAGAAGTGACTATCTGTGAGGGGATGGGTGACATGGGTCCATCAGATATATTAGAAGGAGATATAAAGGCCTGTCAAACAAGCGAAGAAAGGAACCTTCTCTTTGAACGTTTGTTTCCTCTTTGTTGATCTTGAAAGTGAGGGTTTCAGTGTTTTAAATAGTGTACTCTAGTTCTGAAGCCTGGCTTTATAAAAACAACTTACCGTGATAGTCTATGCGACTGATGCGCGTACATTAGGAAAACGGGTATAATATATACTTATATGGGAGAAAAGAGAGTGATAAGGAAGAGAGGGAGATGATATAGTATAGTATATTTCTTAAATCAGCATTGCGATTGAAAAACAAAATCATCTTCCACTGGTTCATACATTATAAAGTGGGGAGGGATCGGGGGAGAAAGGAATATAGAGGAGGAATAACGATTAAGTTAAAGAGGCATAGTAGTGGCCCTCCATGGAGAATTCAACACCACTCGGGTATTTACCCAACAACTTGTGTTGTCGAACACCAGGATTAGCCTTCAATTTTTGTTGTATCAACAGGTCTCATGTAATGCACTGCATTTACAACCAAGCGCCCCATATGGAAAAGTTGTTATCTTAAATTCCCCTAAACTCTTCGAGAGACTAGGGGTATTTCTTGATGGGAGTATGGGAACCGAATACTTACCTACAATACGATAACGATGATAGGTAAACAAATCTCAACAATTATACGTATTAAAATACATTCCAACAGAATCTATACTCATCAAGCTACCTTATCCATGGATATTATGTAAGGTGGACATGAAGGCTCAAGGAGGCCTCAGCTAAATAATAGACCCTACTCATTTTTTTCAATGAGACTCTACTTCAGGACTGTAATCCTTTATTCGTTGCGGCACAACATCGAGAGAACATTCTCAGCTCAGTGCCCGTTTCAGTTACGACTTTTTTCATATTTCACATTGCACAATATCAGATTGTTTACTAAGTATATGTTTATAATATAATGTCATGTGAAGGACTGGTTACTGAAGAAGAATGTCGGCAGGCTATTGTATCCATGAAAACAACAAGTCACCTGGCAGTGATGTTTTATCTGTGGAATTTTTAAATGTTTCGGGAACGACGTAAAATATCTGCTATAAGACTGTATAAATGAGGGTATTCAACAAGAGAAAGTATCTGAATCCCAAAGATTAGGTATACTTACTTTGTTATATAAGAAAGGGGATAAATAGAGTTTGGACAACTGGAGACTAATATCGTTACTGAACACGGACTACAAGATCTTAGCGAAGGTATTATGTAAAAGACGCTTTCTGCGTTACTATTCATCATCCTTGTTGTAATGGCCTTAAAAATCAAGCAAAATAATGAAATACATGGTATCACGGTCGTCTCTGCAAATAATGGTATGTCGAAAGTTTTTTAAATATCACAATTAGCTGATGACGCTGTCCTTTTACTTAATTCCATTGAATCTGCTCAGTAACATTTCAGTTGAAGAAGTCAGAAGCTTTGGACATTTTGCTGGGCCAAGCTTAAATATTATGAAAACAAATGTTAACAACGACACCTCAAATAGAATTTATAAACGAATTAAGTTGGAATTATAATCCACTCAAGTATTTAGGTATATACCTAACTAGAAATTAAAGAAGAATGTGATCGATTGAACTGGTCAGTCAAACTTGAAAAGATTATATCTATCCTAAATATCTGGAAGATAAGAAATGTAAACATTTATGGTAAAGTTGTTATAATTAAATCACTTATAATTTCACAATTTGTGTATGTTGCTTCAATATTACCCGTTTTCTCACAAACTAATTGTTGACTTGAACAAATTGATTTATAATTTCCTTTGGAATTAAAAAAAGAGACAAGATAAAGAGATCAGTCTTAATAAATACAACTGAAAATGCAAGCCTAAGAAAGACTTGAATTCCAAGTTCCAATCCCTGCATTTAGCATGGTTATCAAAGGTCTTTCAAAATAACCAAGATACACCGTGGAAATTTATGTTTAAAATCTGGATTGGAGAAAATATGTCCGTTGTCATTGATTTTAAAATCAAACTTTTCTCGCAAAGATATCTTGATTTTATGTTCAAAACACAATCTAAGTGAGTTTTATATTAGTTGTCTCGTATGCTGGAGTGAACTGAAATATATTGACATTTTGTATGTCGAAGATGTTAGAAATGAAGTGTTATGGTACAACATTAACATAAAATTTGATAGTAAAACCCTATTTTTTAAAGAATGGTTTAAACATTGTATCGTACTAGTTGATGATATTGTAGAAAATTGACATTTTAAGACACGAGATCATATTTACAGTAGGCTTGCGGGTGCACCATGTGTGTGTGAGAGAGAGAGAGAGGATTGAGGAGTCCTGAAAAGGACTCTCGGTAATCTTTCTTGAGGGTGTGTAGTCCTGAAAAGGACTGTTCGTGTAGTCTTGAAAAAG